TTATGATCGGATGCAATACAGTCTAGCGAAGAGCATTCTGTCACAATAGAAGAATCACTAACAAGAACTATGTCAATGAGGGTGGAACTAGAGCTTGTAATGCGGGTCGGGTGGCTGACGCACTGTTGCAGTCCAGTATTGCCGATGACAGAAAGCAGTGATCGAACGTGGGGAAGGTTTGGTTGAAGCAGATCACAGTTTAAGTCGCCACACAATACAACACATTTACCTGCCGATAAGAGCTTTTGAATCGATAGCTCTAGCGTCTCAAAATCTAATTTAATGCCATCGTACTTGGGCGGTCTATAGACACAACCTATGGCCAGTGCTCGGTTATGGCCACACTGTACATTTATCCAAGTTAACTCAAGCCGGCTGGAGCCATGAAGAGCCGGGCTAGAGAGTTTCGAGAACGTAAGGTCATTGCGGCAGTAGATGGCTACACCGCCACCCTTCTTCCTCGACCTATCGACTCTACTGGCCAACTTCATACTGGCAATGGGTACATCAGGCTCACCCCTCCTTAGCCAAGTCTCTGTAAGGCACAACACATCAATGTGGTGACGCTTAACATAATCTGACACAATATCTGATGAGGGTGTCAAAGATCTTACGTTCAGGTTACCTACTGATAAGACGTATTTTGATGACGGCACGCGACTATGGCTGATGCTGGTACCCAGCACTCTACATGGACTCGAGACCAAGGCAGCGGCTACTGATGGCAAGGAAGGCGAGGTACGAGACGCGGGGACTGGGGAACCTGACGATTCCTTGGCTGGCTCATTAACTACACTATGTTTGGGTCTTCGGTGCTCAGACCCTATAAAAAAGTATTTCCTGTCAACTGTAAGATCGATCTGAGGGTCTGCGTGGCACCCTCCCTATTGTAGTGAACTGCGTCTCTCGCTAATCCGCTGAATCTACAGCTGTGCAGAGCCTGCCGCAAGTCAATAAATTTGATGTCAGGACTCTGTGAGCAGAGAGTGCGCAGCCTATTGTTGACGCTCTCAGATCTGCTGTAGATGAAGGATCCGGTGTCCTTTCTTGGGATTATACTACATATAAACACATCGCTTACACCATCCCTACGCTTAGTTTGGTCAGCTAAACTGAATATGTCCTTTGCGACCAGTTCGGATCCTTTGCGAGTTACGTCATTAGTCCCAGCATGTATAACAACCCGTTTAGCACCACATTTGCGTATGGCCTGGCTGATGTCCTGTCTCACGTGCTCGGTAGTGGCACCTGAGATGGAGTGAAAAGCGGGTTTACTGGGGCCGCGTTCACTCATTCCCTCGAGGCGCCTCACGTTGGAGTCACCGATCACCAGCAAAGACGTCCCTGCATTAGCGGGCTGGCGACCGGCGTGCCGTTCTCCAGCGGTCGTCCGGTGTTGGCGAGATAAGTCCTCAGCTGTCAGTAGCTGCTGTGTGTCAGCCTCTGCTGGGTACTGGGCATGACACGCTGAAGAGCGTTCAGGTTGACAGCCGTTCTGCTGCTGCAATGAATGAACCAGCTGCCTCACCTGACTGATGTCTTCAGCCATCCTGTCCAAAATTCATCAAAGCTGACACGCGTTTTAAGAGCTTGAGGACGCTTGGTGCACACTGGAAGTTATAATTGTGTGATATAATAAGAAAATGCCAGGTAAATCATTCCTTATAGGTAACAGGCCGTTGTGCCGGCTGAAAGTGTAATTTGTAATTTGTTTAACTAAAAATACGCGTTGCTATTCTACAGCAGTAAAGTCCACGTAGCGTGCTTTAACGTGCGTGCCGTAATTGCACGTTTTCGGCATTACCCCAGCCAGGCGCCAGCCATACTTTCATTTGCAGGCCCATAACTTTTAAACGTGCTGTATAAATTTCAAATAGGCAGCACACTTATGCAAAGACATGCTGAAGATTACTTGACCGAATTGGCCAGACAAACAGTAGCATAATGAGTAAGAAATGCAGCTTCAAAGGCGCATGTAGTACAAGGGAAACGTACCTTGAAAACGCTTTTGGCGCCCTCACAGCCGAAGTATTCCAAATGACGACTCGTAACAAACATGCGATAATTGTAGTCACTTAAGCTTCAGAGCATCACTGGACACTGAGGCGTGGCATCCATGTCGTACGGTTTTAGAAATATCTCGAATTTCGGCTTTGCCCCAACTTCGGCATTGCCCCAACTTCCCCTACAGTGTAAGTCTACTTACTTACTTAGAAGTACAGAATTTAGTTGGGCCACTTGGCCTTAATGTCCGTTCCAGTCGAGCTGCTTAGTGTGAGTTTTACTAGTCTCTATTGTATTTCAAATTATTGCCTCGTTTTTTGAAAGTGTTTGATATTGACCCAATTTTTTCTTTAAAAAAAAATTGAGTTTAACAAAAAACGGATTATGTGTTAGAGAGGTAGTTTCTGTGACCTACAATTCATTTTTAAGAGGAATCAGTTAAAAACTGTAGTAGTTATTTAAATGTTTGGGTACGACGTCACGACGCATTAAACGTAAAAAAACGTAATTTTTGGAAGGTCTATACCTTTTACGACTCGAGTACAAAAAAGCTCCATTCGATTCATTGTGAAAAACTGCATCAGATGGACACCTTTCTAGTTCAAGCAACTTCAAAATTTGACCTCACTTGACCTGAACTTGACCTTAAATTCATCCAATTGTGGTCCATGTCACTAATTGAGTGTGCCCATTGAATTCTACGAATAAACAGACCCATAAAACATATGTCGCACATGACTTTTTCTATATTTCGTTTGCGGTGACCTGACCTTACCTTGACCTTTGTATGGCCTTGTATGCAACGCATCTTGTCTTGGTAGTCTAAGAATGCGTTTTGGGTCATTAGTCCCAGTCCATTCTTCGCCAACTGAGCTCCAAAGCCGATAATGTAGATATTGGCATTTTGCATCATTGACCTGACCGCTGACATGCGTAAGCAAAAATAAAAATGACATCAAAGAGAGAGCTTTCGATTGCCGTTTTTTCCCCAGCTTTCTACGACCATCGGTTCGGAAGTTAGACAGGGGAAGGGGGAGAATATGCCTCCGCCAGCAGGGAGCGTATGGATGAAGCACAGCGGGACGCGGGTTAAATTTTTCTGTCGTCTCAGCTTGATATGTATCGTACCCGTACGTAACTCGTAGTTTGTACAGATGCCCCATATTCTTATTAAAATGAACAAAAGTTACGAAAATACCCTCATAACTGCCCGCATGGACTCTTCTCTTCTGTCATGTGGAATATGGGTACCTAAAGCTAAGCACTAAATACCACATGTATTATTAACATGGGTGGAGCTTTTCCAGGAAAGTTGGTGGGGCAAAAAGTTGTGATATCTACAATATCCATTTGTTAAGTTAGATAAAATACAACAATAAATAAATTCCTATCATTACAGAGATATTATTTTGCATTACAGACATTTCAAAGCTCTTCAATGCAAAAACATTGGTTTGCTAAGCAGTAAAGTCCTGCAATCGGCTTAAGTTGGTGCAGCAAAACGCCTATTGGTGGGGCAAAACGCCTATTGGTGGGGCAAACTGGCAAGTTGGTGGGGCAGCCGCCCCTCCAAGTGAATAGGAAGCTCCGCCTGTATAGGTAGGTAAATGCCCTCGTAACAATTATATGCTTACTCTCCATGCCAAGTTTTCGGATCCAGGAAGGGCACGCAAGGAAAGGGTGATTTGCCCCTACCGCTCTACATTGACAAAATGTTGTGTTTCTCGCGTGGAAAATTTTCTTCTTGGTATAGTTAATCATGAAAGACATGTGATGGCGACCACCCTGTGTTGGTCGGCGGGTCCCGATAATCCATTTCGTTTCCTCCAACTGCGTCGTGCCGGTCCATCGGATCGTCGATCAATTCTCTGAGGCGGAGCTGAGGACCTTGCCCCGGGCGGTCGGCCGTCGAAGACAGAGAACAGGAGCTCGGAGAAGGGTACGGACGGGCTGGAGCATCAGGATAGGGGTGCGGCTGGGAAGGCCCCAGCGGCCAACTATGGAGCGCTCCATAGTGTGGTCGAGCCGTTTTTGGAGCTCCTACGTCTTAGACTGGCCAGTGAAAGGCGAACTGAAGCGCCCTGCTCTGCATATCAGTGTCCGCCACTGGCACGAGACCATTCAGCCAGTCTGCGGATCATTATTGACAACTGAATACATGCATCTAAAAGAGATCATAGGCCGTACTGGAGCTAGCCGATTCTAGCTAGCCGAGCTATGGCTGAATCATGAGCCAGGAACCCGGAACCGGCGGCGGCCAACTGGCAGCCAGCAGGCGAGACCGACTGATGAGCAGCGCTGCGACCCACCGACCATGCTCCGCGAGCGAGTCGGTGTGTGCGTGGGGGGGGGGGGGGGTTGCACAGTGCACACCAATGCTGCAATTCAGGGGAAGCGGGGGGGATTGCACAGTGCACACCAATGCTGCAACTCAGGGGGAGCGGGGGGGGGGGGGGGCAAAGTGACCCATGACACTGTTCAGGGGGAGAGGGGGGGGTGCACACTGGCAATCGACATTGTTCTGCCGAGAGGTGATGATTCCACATAATGACGGGATGATGGTCCACAAGTAATTATTTCACTATTTGCTTCTTTTTACGTCGTTAGAATTGTTTATTCACTAATTAATTCCATTGAAACTCGTGGACGAAATGTCGTTGTTGAAAGCGATCTTGAATCTAATAACATTCAACGTTATATGATCTGCATAATATCTACTAATGATCATATACCTAACTTATCAGTTAGGTATACAGATCATATGACTGTTACTTGTTTGGAGCCACATGCGCTTTTGCCGAGCGTAGCTATCCGTCAATGTTGTGTTCTGTGCTAAGACTTCACTCACACTGTTGTGGTGCTTCATGTTCGTAGTTTCTACGATAAAAATACAGTGGTGGAACGTTTCACTGTCCAATCTCGTATTCTTTCCAGTCCGCACATATTCCAATCAGCCCCATTCATACCCAAGGCCAACGCCCATGACAAAGGCACGGTGGGCGTTTTGCTGCTTTATTCAGTCGTCCAATATATATGCAACACCAGCGGGAGGCGCAGTAAACGACATTGCCGATAAGCAAAGCTATGGTGAGACAAACGCGCGTGCACCCGCCACCGAAGCGTTGTCAGTCCGACGTAGGCTCGGCGACCCCCAATCGGCCTCCGCTGGTAAACGGGTACAGAACAGAGAGCCTGTATCGCGGCGTCGCGGGTCGACAAAACCAGAGACAACCTAGCCCAAAGACGCGCGAGGGACGGCGCTAAACGCAGCACAGAGATTGAGACCATAGACGGACCGGCGACGAACAGAGAGCAGACGCGGCGGGACCGGAGGGAACAGCGGAGAGACGTGCCGAGCGGGCCGAACACAAAACGGCCCGCCGCCCTCTCAGCTGGCGCCGGCACGACAGACATTAGCCGAAAACTACCTAATGCTACATCTAGTACATCCAGTGTTAGCCCGAAGGGATGTGGCGGCGGAAACCAGCCTGCCTGACGGGCCAGGAGCACCGGAGGGGCAGACCAGCGGGACGCCAGCTCCGGTGCACCCTGGCCGAAAATCTAATGTGGGAGCCCCCATCGAGCGGTCCGGGATCGGGCGGCACAAGACCTATACAGAGCAGACACGGCGCCCCCATTCGGTGGCCCTCCTTATCCAAAATAGCGCGCTGCGCCGGCACAATGGAGGCGGCTGGCGCGGTCGCCGGCCGGGCGGCCGCGCCGTGGCCGGTGTGGGAGCGGCCGCCGATCCGGTGACCTCGTCTGACCTCGGCTGACCGGAGCGGCGCGGCGCCGGCCGCTCGGCGGCGTCCGGCGCCGCGCCGGGCGGCGGCCGCGCCCCCACTCAGGTACACGCTCTGGCGCCGGCACGTTTGTACTCGCTTTAAAGTACCCGGGGCTGCGGCGCGGCGGCCGGCCGTCGGCAGGCCTGGCCGTTCGGCGCGCCCGCCGCTGCTTCTAGTGAGCACTGACACACATACACACACACACACACACACATAGAAAGGGGACGGCGCCGGCGCGCCCGCCGCCCGCACAAGCGGCCACCTACCACACAACCTACCCGAAACACGAGCGCCACAAAAATACAACAGGTTTCCGCATCGATTTTCACTCGCTTTGCGTTCTTTTCAGAGTGTTTCTATGAAAAAGCATGCAGCCCAAAATAGTCTGGTGAAGCCGGCGGCTGCGGCGCCTGCGCCGGCAGCAGCGCGCCGTTCCGAACGTCGCGTCGGCGCCATGGTACGACGCAGTCGGCGGCGGGCCGCCTCGCCGGGACCGCCGCACCGCCGCCCAAAGTCAAGGTCGAATAGAGGTGAGCCGGCTGTTCGGCGGCAAACACTTGGCAGCGCTCCAGCGCGGCGGCGGCGGCGGCGGCGGTCCCGTCGGCCCGCGCCGGCCACGACGCCGAGTCTCAACAGGCGACGTTGGGGGGGGGGGGGGGGGGAGGGTAATGGCAGGTACTTCAGGTACGGTACGGATCATGGACACTGATCGCCCTTCGCAGGGCGGCACAGAGGCTATCGTAGATCAATATTTTTGTAGTGTTTTGTGCGTATTACAATGGCACTGGACGAAACTAACTTAACCTAATCACAGCGGTTTCGGCTATGGTTGACACTGGTTAACACAACGAGACACGCAATCACATTCGAACAGCAAACTACACAATACAAATATGCCTACGTCAGTCAGAACCCAGACACCGACACACAACTCGGAACCACTCACACAAACACACGCTAGAACCAAGCACTACAAAAATCGACACACAAGTCACAGCGCAACGCAAAACGGCCCGGCCGCCGGGGGTTGGCCTCGGACACGGGCGGAGCGCCGGACACGGAGACACGAACGGGGACACACGCGGACACGGACACGGACGCGGACACGGCCGGCGGGAGCGCGCGGCACGGCCACGGAAGCACGCCGCCCGCTGGGTCGGCCGCGGGTAGGGGCAGGGGCCTGAGAGGGACTTGTGAGGAGGCTGACGGCGGGCGGCCCCGGCGCCGGCACGGGACCGGACCGGGGCGCGCCGCCGTCTCGCCGCCAACACCTGAGTCGAAATTTTGAATTTGAATCAACTCCTGAGGCGATTTCTGTAAACCTGAGTACGACTGTGCATCCGAAGTTTTCGACCACCGGTGAGAATCCAGGGCACAGCCTAACTAGCGGGCCGGCGCTCGGAGGCCGGCCGTCTACGGCGCCCCGGTGAGCCGCGGCGCGCGCGCGCGCGCCGTTACCTCGCGGTCGCGCTCCTCGCACGCCATTGGACCCAGACACCCGAACACGGCCCGACCGGCCAGGAAGACAGCCGCCGTCACGGCGCCGGCAGCGCGGCGGCACGAGCCGCTCAGACACGACCCCGTCAGACACACCCGCGCACCCCCTGACACAACCCCTTCAGTCACATGCACGGACCCCTCAGACATTACCCCCTCAGTCACACCCGAAGACCCATCAGCCAAACAGCTGCTCAAACAAAAATCCTTAGCCAAACTCTCAGCTCCCAGTCACACTCCCCCAGTCACACACACGGTACCCTCGACCACACCTTCCTCAGACAGGCGCACTTTGCGTGTCCTGGTCGGCCGAGCGGCCTGCGCCAGGCCACAGCCAAATGATGCCTCCCTTCCCATCAAGTCACCCCTCCAAAGGCGGAGCGCGGGTCGCCGACAGCATAAGGCATGAACACAGAAATACTTCACAAAGCCAGCTGAGAGAAAAGGCAAACGCGGTCTATTTGCGCGACAGAAAAGCTGGGATTAGTGCAAGGTGTTACTGGTGAGGAGTGGGCTCTGTGAGGTATTTCTATGACATCGATCGGCCCGCGATCCGCCATCGTCACAGCCCTTCAATGCAGCGCTCACGCAGCTCTCCAGAGCGGCGCTGCCACAGCCCTCCAATGCGGCGCAGGCACAGTTCAGCGTGGAAGCACAGCGCCGCCGCAAGTCAGCCACGCGCAGGTACGGAAGCAAGAAATGCACGTGTCCCAACTACACACTACGGGGAAGACGGTGATTTTTCGGGGGGAAGGGGATGAAGCGAGGCGGAGCGAGGTGTACCGAGCACTACAGCTGCGTCCCATCCTAGCGTACAGCAAGAGTGCACCGGAACATATCTAGGGTAACTGAGAACAAATCCGGGTTTCGCCGGCACCAATTATCGCACGAAAACGGATCTGCACCGGTAACTGACATCGAGATTTGAAGTCAGGCCAGAGAAGGACACGAAGGAGATCATTTCCAAATGGAGAACTAAGCAAACCTGAGGAATGAATAAAACCACTGGCGTCTTTCGGGCGGCCCGACTTCAGATCTGGATGGTATGCGGCTGGCCAGAGGAGCACCGAACGCGGAAAATGAGGATCAGGCCAGCAGGGACGACATTGCGGGCCACGAGACGAGAAGCCCCAACGGGCGTGGAAATGCACCATTGGATTATATCTTACGACGAACGCTGTCAGCGGTTAGCGATGACAACGGACGGCGCCCCACAAGACTAACCGCCGAGTGTCACAGCCCAGCACATACACACGCACACACACACCGCGAGCGCAAAGCGAAACACCACACCACAGCCTTACAGCAGATTATAGCCGTTCGAATTGGACAGGCGCATTTCGGAGACCAGCCGCCACAACCACAACCCCACCAGACAAGAGACCTTGTGTCCCCACCGGGCGCCACTTCTTAACACTAATCACAGCCGGCACCGGCCGCTGGAGACGGCACATTGGACAGGACAGGACATTCACTAAGGACACTCACACGACTGAGGTCAGGAAACAAACACGGCTGACGGGTGACATCACCTGAACGCAGGCCGATACAAACGGAAACTGACCGGTGTCGGCGCGGCGGTGGCGGCTGGGCGGGGGCAGGGCAGCCGGAGACCGCCAAGCCGCACACGCCACCGCCGCCGCAGCGCCGAGACCCTACCCTGCCCTCCCTCAGAACACCCCTCACAACCCCCCACCGCGAGCCTGCCGGGGTCAAGCCACCGGCGGCCGCGCCTACTACACCCTACCGCTCACAGCCCGACTTGGGGCGGCCACAAGGCTCGCCCTCGCCCTCTCCGCTCCTCGCTACACGTATGTATGGCTAGTGACCAGCCGCGCGCCGGTCGCCGCACGTCGAGCGCGCTCCGCTCGAGAGCGGTCAGCGCGCGCCAACCGGCCTGCTTTCCTCGCTTACACACGATCACATACACGGCACACACAGAGACCTCACGTTCACCGACCGTGGCGACAGCACGGCCATACTCAGCTACAGCACGCCAGGGCCAGCCCACGGCCGGAGCGCCCCATTTGGTAACAGTCCGTCTCGGGGACGAGGCTCCCGCCGGGTGCGGGCGGCAGCGATAGGCCTGAACGGTGTCGGCCGCGCCCGACGGGCAGCACGGTGGGTGCAGGCCGCCCCAGTGTCAGCGCGTGGGTGCAGGCCGCCCCCAATGATAGCGAAGTGGGTGCAGGCCGGCGCGGCGGGTGCCGGTCCAACTCTCTCGGCTCACCCGGCGGCGGGAGAGCCGGGAGCCGAGCAGCCCGAGGGAGTTCGACCGGCCCACGCGGCCGCCGACCATGAGCGGCCCGAATCGATAGCCTTGGCGGCGTTGCCATGACGACCCACGGTCAGCGCTGCGCTGGAGACTCTCGAGGCCAGAAATGGACGCAGCGACCCCGGATGTTCAACCGGGGCGGCCGCACACACAAATAGACGAGAATCCCTCTGAAGCAAACTGAAACAAGCGCTCTTCAACCAAACCAAAACAAGCACTCTCGAACAAACATCATATAGTTACACTGGCCCTAAAGTTTCGAAGCTTGGTGAAGTGTTTGACTGATTTGTCTTTTTCTGCTCACTCAAAAGCGACCACTGAACACCTTCCGAAATGAGAAAAAGAGCAGACCGCTTGGTAACCCTTACTGTCCTTATTTCCATCGAGATGTCTTGGATTGTGAGTAGGGTGGCCTTTTCCCCAGAATGAGAAGTAGCTTTTTATGGGCCTTAATCAATCGATCTTGCCGGGAGAAGATATCACGTGTCGGTTTCCATACGATGTCTTGATTTCCAAAGAGAACGTTCCTCATTGGAAGTCAAGGCAGCCCATGGAGCTGGTGCGACTGGAATTGACAAATCTCGAGTATCGAGTTCGCCGCCATCGTCACGGCCTCGGCCCGGGTCACGTGACAGCGCCCGTGGAACGCTGGCCGGACGGGCGGGCGGTCACGTGGTGCGGCCGGGACGCGCCCGGCCGACTAGACTAGCACTATTGTTACCGGCGCCGGCCGGCGGGCTCCGCTCACCACTTGTACTGCTTCAGGATGTTGTACTCGCTCTCCGTCCCCGTCAGCGGGACCTGCTCCCCCCACGGCGCCGGACGCGCTCTCTCGCTTACACATCAGCCGCCACGACAGCGCGGGCCGCCGGCCGGCGCTCTCAGCTGGACTTATGTACAGGCGCGCGCGCCGGCCCCGCATCGGCGGCCGGCAGCGGCGCTATCTCAGAATCGGGGACACCAAACACTTGCAATGACAGCGTGTTGTACTTGGGCACCCGGCAGGTGACTTCCCGGAGTGGACGGGCTGCCGGGGCCGGTCACAGGACACTCCCGATCAGAGGCACATCAGTCGAGAGTACGGCAATTTCGGGCGACTGGACGGCACGTCGGGCCGGCTGCCGGCGGTTGGCGCGGCAGGCGGCCCGGCTCCGAACAGTCACCTCGGAGGCACGCGGCATCAGTCCGACCGGCCGGCGCGGCGGCGCCCGCGCGGACTCCGCCCGGGCGCCGCCGGCCGGCGAGGTCGAAGGCGATCTCAGGACGCACCACAGACGCTCTTCTGACACTCTCCACGACAACGTCCCGAAGGCCGGAAAGAAGGTACCGCCAGACGGGGAGACTAGGCAACCACTCCACAGCGAGCGGCCAGATTAGAATTTCTGACTAAAATCTGTTCCCTGTTTGTGAACTAGAGTAACTCATACATACACGGCTTCTTGCTTGATGAGAAGAAGTGCTGGATTTTTTGTGTCGTCATGTTATGGGTTTATTTTTTTATTCTTAACTGCCGAGGCGATTCGCACTGCGGCAGAGGTTTTCAACATTCCCTGTTATCGTGTCATTTGTTATACAAAAATACGGACGCATGCACAGCTTTCCATTCATTAATTTGCCTGGATTATTATTTCTCTTTTTTTTTTTGTTATTTTTTACCGATCTAATATCGTGATCGGGGACGGGGGCGGCGGCGTGGAAATTCGGCGTGCGCAAGACCACGCCTGCTGTTCTATTTACACCCACACATCCACTCCCACAGCGCACGCACACAGCAAGGGTAGAAAGACGTTTCGCCAGGCCGCCGCGCCCATCCCCGGTCGTCGATGGCGTCTCCGCGCACTACCTTACCGGCTACTCACAGCCGCCACCGGGCGGGTCGGCTCTGTGGGCGGGGGCGGCCGGAGGCGCCGCCCGACCGCCCCCGCCCTCCGCCGGCCCGCCGTCAGGTACGTCAGGACACAGCAACACGTAGTGCGCGGCCCGCCGCACCCTTACACCTATCAGGTACGGTTTTGTCACACGACACACTCACACTGTGGAACGCTATGGTGAACGGGACAAGGCACACAACGTCGATTCAGCACAGGGCACACTGTCACTGGAGGCTACACAGGCGCGCGGCGAGGCACAGCGCTTGATACATATCAGCACGGACGAAATACACTACGCAAAACACAGGCGATTGACGGCAAACACACAATACACGAGTATGGACACGTTATGCATTACACCACGACGAAATTACACTACATACAGCCACGTGATTATAAGCAACACAACACCCATCGGGACACTGAACACAGAGATGACGAACAGAGCAGTACAAGCTAAACTGCCACAGCGAGGCGGACAGGCGGCACACACCAGGCGAGCTCCACCCACTCTGTACCAAACACAGATACACAGACAAGCGGGAACCAGCCACGCGCACACACAAGACACAAGGTGGAGCACTCAGTCAGACAGTGTTCTCATGCGGGAATGGCCCGACTGGCGGTGCGCAGCCTGCCGCTCAGACACAGCTGATACGTCGAGTTCGGCGGGGCGGAGGCGGGCGGGGGACGGTGGGAGTCGGGTCAGGTGCGGCGGTCGGTGCGGTTCGCCAGCGACAGGTGACAGCAGGTGACAGTCGCTGACAGGCCTGTCGGCGGTCTGTCAGGTCGGACGGTGGACAGGGGCCTCTGGGGACCAGAGGCTGTCGGACGGGTCGAGATCTGGTGGCCGGGACTGGGACTGGACTGGAGTGGAGGCTGTCCCGTCTGCTGGGCCCGCGCCCGGCGCCGCGGCCGGTGGGTCCTCTGTGGCGCGGCCGGGCGCGGGCGGCGGCACCGGACGGCGGGCCGGCCGCCGGCTCTGGTCGGCGGCCAGCGTCACAGCCGGTCAGCGCACGCCGTCCTCTCACACGGTATTTGTACTGGGTGCCGGCCCGGTGCCGACGCCAGCAGACAGGACAGGGGACAGGAGACAGGCGAAAAGAAAACAGCGCAGAGACGGGGGGGCTAGGGCTAGAGAACGGAACAAGGTGACGCTCGACAAGGGACGAGGGAAGGAGACAGGGACATGGGAAAGGGTGGAACAAAGGACAAGAGCTGGAGAAACTGAGACACGGCGGAGACGGGATAAACAAGAAGGGTGGTGGGGTTACCGGCCAGGTGGACGGCGCAGTGCACAAGCCTTCGCGGCGGTCAGCCGGTGGGGTCGGGGGCGGGGTCGCTGGTGGGGTGGGCGCCTGTTGAGACTCGGCGGCGGAGGCCGGACTGCGGTGGGCGGTTAGCGCGGCCCCTCGGCGGCCGACGGCTCTGTCAGACAGCTCAGTATGGCCCGCCGAGGGACCGGTGTCCGACAGCGTCCGACGCGCCACTCAGCCTACAATGTAGTCGGTAGAAAAGTACCCCTCCCTCCCCCGCTCCCCCGGTAAGCCACACACACACACACGAACAAGCGCCCTATGTACAAAAATACTGGCCCTGGGCACGGTCAGCTCTGAGCGCCCTCACCTTCAGCTGGCTCACCCAACGCAAACGGCAAACGCAAACATAACGCGAGACTAGGCAAACACAGGCTAAACCAAAATCATCTAGTGAGTCCCGAGCGGGTGGCCGGCTGGAGGGGGGTCAGACAGTCCCGCGCCGCCGGGCCGGTCCGCGCCGGCGCCCGCGACGCTGCTACGCTAGGTATCAAAACATAGAAAACCGCCGGTCAGGTCAGGTCATGTGTTGCCTGTGGCGGGCGGCGCGCCGGGCGGCGGGCGGTGCCTGCTCGGTCGGCCGCCGGCCGCCGCGGGCCGCCCCACCGGTCCAGTGAGCCACCTGGCCGGGACTCGAGTCCCCGTCCCCACCCATTGCCGCCTAGTGGTGAGGCCAACATTACGCTGTCGGCGGCACGCGCTGGTAGAAGGAGAGCGCCTTGACGAAGTGGTTCTCCAGGGCCGTGCAGAACGGACAGCTGACCATGTGGCTGTAGTCGGAGTAGAAGTTGAGCCGCTGGTCAGGCGCGATCACCGGGCTGTCGCACTCGTTACACTAAAACACACAGAGGGCAGAGGATGTGTTTTAGCGAAACACGTCGCACGTCGTCTGAAACATGTCGCACTTGTTACACTGAAACATAGAGGACGGAGATCTGTTTTAGCGGACTGAAACACGACACAACAGAGGCATCGGTTACATCTAGACAACAGTTGGGATACTGGTACAGCAAAACAACAGTTACACTGTTCAATAAAACATGCTGAAAGGAAATTCGATCGGTTTGTCGTGCTCAAAACAAAGGTGAGACACCGGAATCGTCACGAGACTCCACCTGACGGCCCAATGACGCCAGCCTGCATGGGGTACATGGGCAGAACCGCAGATCACCTGTCTGAGCGCGTTTAGCACACAGGCCCTCTCAGAGAGCATTATCATTACCCCACCCCCCGTAGCGCACACATCTCGTGTTTACTCTCCGTATGAGAGCACAGCACTTCGACAGGCGTGCCAGCTTATTGCCAAACCGGCCGATAAGGGATCTCCACTTCTCTATCGGACACTTGGCCAAACGTGGAGAGACTAAGCCTTAGGACATCGACCCAGGACCAAAAACAGGAGAAAAAACACTCGAAACAGCGCTGCGCAGTAGTCACCTGAACAGGGGGTGTCAGCGCACGGATTAGCAGTGGTGCCACGATCAGAGGGGGGGGGGCGTACAGGTGGCAGGTGTGTAGATCACTATCACGAACACTCGGCTCGGCGGAGAGGACGCAATTCAGTGAGCATAGGTATAGGACCGGACCCAAATAAAGAGCGATAAAAGGGAAAAGTGATACGGACCAGTAGTTTCGTAATTCAGGAGCGTTTAAGGACTGATATTTGTTTTGTTTTACATTGGTTTGTACAGTAGCTAGGGAGCTAAGATTTAGTTTGAGTGTAGAGGGGGTTGTCAGTTAAACGCAAAAGCCATGTGTGATGTGGCAGCATCATCTCATTGCCTGTCGAGCTCTCTGTCGGAATGTCGAGCTACAGAGCTCTGGAGCTCTCGGTCCGAGTCCGATCCCACTCCGTCGGCCTGGATCGCTCGGCGGGCCGCTGCGCCTACCTCCCTCGGCCCTCGGCCGCACGCGGCGCCGGCCGGCCGGCCCGGTGGCCTTGGGCGGTCGGTGCGCCCGCTCGGCCGGCGGCCGCTGCTAAAAAGCGACGGTGACCCACTAACGGGTCGTTGGCCTGCGCCTGCGCGCCATGCACGTCACGGCATGACGCAACCGGCGCCGGCAGCTGCGGTCGATGCCGGTCGGTCGGCCGACCCCGCCGGCGGCGGCCCGACAGACGTGCCTCTCGGCCCCGCCACTGACCGCGGGGAGGTATTGGTGACACTGACCGGCCACTGGGACGGGCCAGCCACGGGTCAGACACAGAGATCGCCCCAGGGTGATCGTATTGAAGCGAGGAACCGCTGCCAGGAACGCTGCCCCGCTCTATGCATATGAAAAGACGGCTTACTGCAGGCGCCTGAGCTGCTGAGGACTTTTCCACGGTGTCACACACCGGCAAAGGCTGTGACTGACAGGGGGCTGGACCGGCACTGATCGGTCGCCAAGGAGCTCAGGTCGGGCCCAACCTCTCCGACCGCGGCCCGGGAGCAGTGGCGCACAGACCGACACAAAGAGGACCATCGGCGGCGGTCGGCGGTCACAGGGAGCCCCGGCGCGCCGCCCGCGCCATCCAATCTACTGCTAATGTGACTGTAACGCGCCGGAACGCCGGCACTCGGCAGCCGGCGTGCCAGGAGGGCCGGCGGGGCAGCCACGCCGGGCAGTTTGAGTTAGGCCGGGCACCGACCTCCCCATCCAGGTCAGACGTGCCGCTCCCGCCCGCAGCCGCCCGCCGGCCATGACCGTGACAAAGTGGCAGTCGACTGGCAGCGGCGCGACGTCCGACCGCCAGACCCAACAGCGCCGTGCCATTGTCAGCAGAACGGCAAAACAAAAAGCTCGAAGATATGCCTTCGTAGAGAAGAGACAAAGAACAAAACCGAAAGCCAAGGATGATAGCGTCACTGACCGCAACCGGAGGGCAACGACACCTCACACGGCCTCGAGCGTTAGAAAGGGCAGCAGATGAGGAGGGCCCGTCCCTAGATGGGCGCCGCTCGGGGCAGGGGAAAGTGACCCCCGGCCGGCGCGGCTGGCGTCACTGATGGTTTGCCGGCCCCCGGCGACACGTGGCGGCCTCACAGGGCGGCGAGAGACCGTTTCACAACGCCAGAGCGGCGGCAGCACGCGGCGGCACCGGCCCACCGACCCAGCCGCAGTGAAAAATGACCACAAAATGGGAATAATTTTGCACAGTCATTTCCTGTTTTAGATCGCAATTTTCCAGGGCAATAGCGTCAATTATGTTGGGTGAGTGCCCTGATTAAGAGTGGCATGTAACGCATTACCAAACGATTCATCAGTTTCGCTCTGATGAACAAAAATATTTAGAAATTTTAGTTCATAACATCATTAGCTTCATAACATTATTATTTACTGGGAATACAAGTAAAGAAGGGCTTCATTAATTAAAAAAAAAATCCTCTCGGTGAACGCGACATTTACGACTGATCACATCTCACAAACTGCAACCACGTGTGAATTTGACCGACGTGCAAACACCACAGCCGGTGCCACCACACCCCAAATAGTTGCACGGTTCAGCCCACACTAGTCCCGCCGTGAATCATACTTCTGACATTTAATGCCGCGGCAAAACTGAACACCCGTCACCGAGGTCGCAAACCCGACCTTCACAGCAACACCCGTCAGCCCGTCATTTCAAACAGTAGCGGACCAAAGACCCACCCCCTCGCAACCCTACCCGGTTTAGCGACTGACCTCTACATAAAAATACTTCTTGCACAAAAATACTTAGGTAACTAAATAGATAGTGATTTACGAAGATTTCTCGGCGCACTACAAAAAAAAAATCAGACAATTTACCTAGAAATTATACCGAGAAGCTGAAGGATTGCATTAGGAAGTTGGCACATTAGATAATTTGCCGCCGTAGGCAAGTTTACTAAGAATATTATTTGCCCATTCTTCCTAGCTAGGTATTTTGGTGCAAGAAGCTCTGTTCTCTACGGCCTGCTCACCTTCAGCCTCTCGGAGCAGCACGGCGTGGCGGCGAAGATGTCGAACGTGTACATGGTGCCCAGGATGAGGTGGGATCCGTCCCAGGGCTGGTGGCAGCGGCGGCAGCGCAGCCGCACCGTCCAGCCCTCCAGACAGCCCATGCACACGGCCGACAGGTACTGCACACGGTTGTCGTACCGCACCTGAGACAGGTCACAGGTCAAAGGTCAGATGGGGAGATCGGTGTGCGACTAGGGGGCGGGAGGGCATTTGGGGGAGGCAACTCTGGGGCGGTACACAAAACTGCGACAGGCAGACATACCGCGTGCTGAGTGGAGTGTGGACATGACTGGCGACTGCAAACACGCACATAGTCACGACATTGTGTGGTGGCGGTGATGTATAGTATTGTGTAAAACGTGACCGACTTTGTGATGTCAGTACGGCAATGTGTTGAACATGTCCGGCTTGTCAGAGTACAGCGCCGTGGGTTGCATGACCTTGACGAAAATAAATCCGGCTTCTGAGAACGACCATGGGCTTGGCGATCGACCGTGGGAGGCGGCCGTGGCGGCCGGGCCGTGGCCCACTGACAAAGCCAGCCCACTCCGGGGACGGAGCCGTCCACCCCGGTTTGGTCCGGCGCGCAGCTCGGCACTTCCAGGAACTGAGCCGCACAGCTCGGCAGTTCCAGGAACTCAGCCACCATCATCGAACGGCCGGGGTGCTGCAGCGGGCTCCGGCCAAACGCGGAAGGCTCACGGCCTACGCCTTAGAAGTCATTGAGCGCTCCGGATCGGAGATCTACAGCCTGCTTCTACCGGGTGACTGTTAAACAGGGCTAGGGGAAGCACCACAGTGGCGCATGAATCCACAGGTTTTAAAAGCATTCTAATTAAATTAGAAAGGTATTTGATAGACAAATTGAAGTCAGATCCCACGCTAAGCAGAACTTGTTGCAAAAGCCCTGAGCTCCTTCGCCCGATCGGTACCAATCTGGTTCACTGGTAAATAGAAGCCGAAGTTCACACATAACCGGACACCGCGATCTCAATAAGTGAAACTTGGCTGACTGGACCATACCCGACAATGATCTCTTGAATCGAGCGCTAAGATAGCACGGGCTCGGGCTCTTGTCACCGGGATGTTCTACCAAATGATCTATACAGCGGACAGTCATGCCCCGTGCACGGCGCCCACCGAGCGCCCGGCATTCGCATCTGTCCCAGTCCGGCTGCCAAAACAAACCGGCTGCCCGCTCGGCCCGCTGCAGATGTGGAGCAGCCAGCGCTCAGCCGGCGGCCCTCCCGTCCGTCCAGCCGGCTCTGGAACCCGCTCCCTCCCTCTCGGCTCGGCGGCAGCTGCTGCTCACTAACCGGTCTGTTCAAGGTCAGCCGCAGCTCGCGGCGCCGGCCGCCACGCCAGGCCCGCCGGCCGCCCCCACCGCACTGCGTAGTAGAACTAGAACATTGTGGCGACGTGTGGCGAGGCAGTAACGCGAGGTCCCCCTCCCCCCTCTGCAAGAGACGTCTGACGTTCAGGAAATGCGAGCCGACCGACGAGCTAACCGCATGACGAAACGGACCAGCGGCAGTGGCCGCTGCTGCAGGGGACATGTTTGGAACTACATACGACCGATACGTGCCCGCCAAGTCAACAGCAGCAGTTCTGATAGCACACCTGCACAAGATAGAACTGGTCAATAGCGTCTCCGACGGTTGTCCGACGGTTGGAGGCTGGGCGATACCAAATGCGCTTCGAAAACAGCCCGGGAAGTCAGATACGCCACCGAGGGCGGCTGTTTATAAACAAGTGGTCACGACTGTCAGATTATGCTTGCGAAGCGCGCCTGACCGGCTCGACCTAATTCAGTAAACACGGCAGTGCAATGGCTGGTATCGCTCTAGCGATATCGAACAACGCAATTCAGCAGTCGGCCCACAGTCTGCTGAGCCAGAGCGACCGATCTGCTCTGGTGCTGACCCTCGGCGACCGGCCGTGGCCGTCCGCCGCCGTCCGCCGCCTGTTGACACAACGGGGCCCCAGGGGCGGCACCCGAGCCTCGGGCCAGCCAAGAGCGCAGATGGCTCAGCCCGCCGGCCTCCGTCACCGGCCCCATCCCTCTCCATGGCCAAACACGGCTAGTGCCCACTATTTATAGACACGCCGAGTGTTTTAGTGTTCGTTGCGCAGGCTCCGTGTCGCAGCGGTTGCTAGGGTGCCCCAGAGAGCTCTGAGTGGGGGGATCAGCAGCGCTGGCGCCAACTGAGCGCCGGGCCGTGGGCCGGCCGGCTCAGCCTTGACGTTGGCCCTGAAGCCGTCAGCCTGGGGGCACTAGCAGCCGCAGCGCGTATCATTATGGGTGTGCGGGCCCATCAATCCTATCATTATGCACCGTGTGCGCGCACGAAGAATAGCGCCATGGAGAGGCGTGCTCGAGTGTGCACAGCCACTCGCTATCGCAGCGTGCACGGGCCTTCCTGTGCACGGCGCACCGATGTGCACAGCCTCTGTGCAATTGTGCACAGCGCAGACGAGCAGCAACGGACGAAGCGCGGTGTGAGCACTGCAGGATGGCTGCCAAGGCCGCCGCAACGGCCGGAGCCGCCGACAACGCGGGCACTGGGCAATGGGCAGTCAAAACACACGTGTTGTGGACCGACTGCCCCTTGCCCGGCGCCGCTGCACGTGACGTGGCCGCCCGGCGGACCGGCAGCTCACGTGCCGCGGCTACCGGCGCACGTGACTGTCAAGTCGAGCTCCAAAGGTCGGATAAACGAGTTCTGACAGGAGCCAAGTGACACATGTCCTTAGCAAAAGTGGATCGCGGATCAAAACACTGACCAAAACACTCGAGTGGATTGAGTGTATCCTATTATATGTCGGCAGATGCATACAATCGTGTGACGAGCGTTTATGCGTTCTGTGTGTGAATGTGCTCGTGTATCCTGCTAGTTGTAGATGAGGGTGGTTTGATGAGGATTGTTTGATTGTATCAGGGGCGTAGGCAGGGGGGGGCCACTGGGCCATGGCCCCCCCCTTGGGCGCCGAAGGCGCCCTTTGCGATTGGAGGGCGCCGAAGGCGCCCTCCAATCGCAAATGCAATTGTGATATAATCGAATCGAAAAACAATCGCGACTGGAGGGCGCCCTCCAATCGCGAATGTGTTTACAGGGAAAATACGGATGGAGGGCGCCCTCGGAGGACGCCCATTCCAAATACGCCCTCCAAATACGGTTGGAGGGCTCCCTCGGGCGCCCTCCAACCACATTTGTAGGCTGTAGCTCTCTAAGCGTAACGGTGGTCGCCTATGTAAGCCGCTGTCCTGTAAATAAACGCCCTCTCACCCGAAGGCGCCCTCCTGTAGGTCGCCACCCTGCTACACATTGCCGCCCTTCTGCTGATCGGCGTCCTCATAATTATTGGCGCTCTCCTACCTATTGAGCCCTCATGTGAAATTTTGAAGGCCGCCTTTCTCCCTTTTGGCACCCTCTTGTTCAGTGCCGCCCTCCTACCTATTGGTTCCCTAGTCCTTCCTGTTGAATGTTAATCGGGGCCCTTCTCCTATTGGGGCCCTCGTGTAGATCGCCGCCCTCCTAACCACTGGCACCCTCCTGTTGATCACCGCCCTCCTATCCACTGGCACCTTCCTGTTGACCAGCGCCCTCCGCACAGACGCCCTCCTGTTCGTGTCATCCTCTTGAGCAAAGGCGCCCTCCTCACCATTGCCACCCCCATTTTAATCGTCACCCTTCCGCTCATTGGCGACTTCCAGTTGATGACCGCCCTCCCACCTATTGGCGACCTCTTGTTGATCGCCACCCTCCTATTGGTGCTCTCCTGTTCCTCGCCACCCTCTTACCTGGTGGCGCCCTCCTGTTGATTGTTGATCGGCGCCCTCCTACCTATTGGTGCCCTCCTGTTGATCGCTGCCCTTCTATCCATTGGCGCCCTCCTGCTGCTCGCCAACTTCCTACCTATCGGTGCCCTACTGTCGAAACTCGGGATGTTGATCGGGGCTCTTCTACCTATTAGTGCCCTCCTGTGGATCGCAGCCCTTCTACCTATTGGCAACATCCGTTGATCGCTGCCCTCCTATCATTTATTTACTCCTTTGGCATGTTTTTCAACTTAGTCGTTCTATTGCACATAGTTGATGTCTTGCCTGTGAAAACTGCCACAAATGAACGTGCATTCAGCACAATGAATGAAGTATCTATACCTACCAAAACTATCTACGCTCTACGATGCATAAAACACGTCTTTGGTCTTAACGGATTGATCCTACTTTACGTGCATCATGGCATCTATATGGATTACGATTAAGTATTGTCAACAGGTTCGGGCGCAACAGCAGGCATCTGAAGTTTCGGTGATTGAAACTGGTTATGTGGGTACACTGTGTGTATGCATCTGTGAGAAGGCTATGAAGGCTGGTCTGAGGTAATTTGGATGATGTTTACGCATCTCGCGCTCCGGTATCAATCCGATACGGTGATCTGGTGCGTAGATATGCCACCGCCAATAAACTTTTATACATCGACACCCATGAGCCAAGCTTTCTGTACAGTTTGTGTGGCAGCGGCCCGACCAAACCTTAGGTATTTTTTACACCTTCAAATTTGGTAAAAGAGCGAGAGGAGCTTTGAACAGTGATCGTATAAAAGGCGTGCCTAAAAAGCGGAGGAAAAGGTTGTTTTCAAAAATTTCGCGCGCCTTCGGCGCAGCATTTCAAGAACACTTGACCTTTTGTGACCTGGAGTATAATGAATACACACGATGCAAAATCAATGCAGCACGACCTATACGAGGTTACGCAAAAAAAAAACTGGTGGCATGGTAAAAAACGCCTCCCAACCCCCCAACCCCCATTGAGCGATTTTTTTATCTCGCGACCGTATGGCGCCCTCCTTGGGTGAGGTGGCGCCCTCCAAACCCTTGGCCCCCCCCTTCGCGATTTTCTAAATACGTCGCTGGATTGTATACTAACTATAGGTGTTGTATTTTTTTTCTGCGGGGCGAAATAATACCTCATGCTTTATAACGAAATTGCGTTCACATCCCAATTTCGTTCGTCATTACGTCACAGTCAACGCCCGACACATGACCCGTCAAATTACACGTCCCGTTTTTTGCCTCGTGCCCATACCTTTTCTAAACTAGAGTGGTTATCGAAAAAAAACCAGCAGTTAAAATCCCGAACAATGGAAATTCAGCACTAAACGAGAACCGAGAACCACTTTCACTATTGGAAGTGCAGGACCTATGACGGGGAGGGGTGGCACAGGGTCCCATGGACCCACCCAGATCCTCGGGAAGGGTAGTACGCGAAGGGACAGGGGGAAGTCAGGGCCATGCAGTGAAGGGCCGAGACCAACAGGGCGGGGCGGGGCCTACCTGGACGGAGGCGCGCGAGTGCTGCCGCGGCCCGATGAAGAACGTGCCGTCGATGATGGGGTAGCGGTCGTACACGGTCAGCGCGTCGCCACAGACCACGCAGAAGGTGCGGCACATGCGCGCCGACGCCAGGGACGACAGCAGGAAACAGCGCGTGTCGTCGTTCCCCTGCGAGCCCTCGTCCTCCATCTGGGGAATAGACAGGTCGCAACAGGTCAGAACAGGTCACAACGGGTCACACTCACAACAGGTCACAGCGGGTCACAGCGGGCCACAGCGGGTCAGGTGAGATCACAGCCGGCCACAGCAGATCAGATCACAAAGAACAGCGGGTCCGAGGTCCGGTCGATTGAGATTCAGGACAGGCCGGCTACGACATAAAAGAGAAGCGGGCCTCTCAAAAGTGGACAGCTCAGATCGGGTTAGAGCGAGGCGAGCCAGACGCTGGCCTCTTCGATAAGAAGTGTCATCATATTTGAATAGCAAATGCATAAAGAAATCCCTGAATCTGCCCATACTGTCTCAATAGCATTCCTCAACTGACAGAGTTCCCGCTCGATCCGACATGATCCGATAATGGCATCGGTTCCGCGTTGTTCTCCAAATGTGGCGGCGCGGCGCACCTGCGCCGCCGGTCAGTGCGCAGATCCGGCAGCAGGATTGATTGCACTGCCAGTTCCGACACGGTCATGCGCGCCACACGATACGGCTGATGCAAGAGGCCGGTGAGGGGAGGACGGAGGTCGATTTGGATGACCAGCTCGGCAGCCAGCCGTCCGGGCGGGAGGACCGTGGTTTACAAACAGCGACACGGCACGCGGCACTGCACGGCCAATAGATGGCTGTATCGGGCGCCCTTCGACTCGGTAACAACACGGAAGGGGCGCGTCGCGCATAGAGGCAGAGACAGAGGATAGAGAAGACAGAGTGCTGGAAACGAGGGACAAAGAAGAAGCAGCCCTTTCCGCTGATCGCCACGCGCTGTTTTAATTGCCGGCGCTGAACGAAGCCATTACGTTTAAGCACCCTGGGGCCGTCTGGGAGCCGGGTGGAGCCGCTCCATTTGTCTCGGGGGAGTCGGCGAGCCGCCGGCGGAGCGCCGCTTCCCAGTCGGCGCGGCGCCCCCGCCACAACAAAGCGGTGACGTCAGCCGCGGGGCGGAGGGGGCGGGGCCGGCACGGCGGTGGGGGCGGGTGGCCGCCGGGTCGGGCCGGGTCGTGGGCAGCCGCTCCGGCCCGCCCCACCGTCTGCAGCCCAGTCAGCACGGCCGGCCGACCGCCGCCGCTGCACGGCCGGCATGCAACAAGTCAACTGCGCCGCGGGCCGACCTTCAGCTGACCTCTGGCGCCGCGCGGGGGCGCTTTAAAGCGGCGCTATCGCCGCGTTTAAACACACGGCTGGCCCGGACCAATAGACAGCCCGGCAGAAACGGCACTGAAGTCGGAGCCGAGCCAACGCCAAATCGAGCGCACACTCCAGCACCGTCCAAGACTATAATTTATATATAGGAGTCTGTGCGAGGTGTTTACTACAGCATGCTATTTATCCAAGCTAGTCGTGGCTGGCAGATGCGATATCGAGCAGGTCCCAGAAGCGACGTGCGTGTTTTGGTTGGAGGCTCTCGCTAGCTAAACACTCGGTGTTACAATAATACGATGTTGCTAGGGCGCCCGAGACTCGCTCTCACTAACAACCTTGGTCCCTCGCCAGGCTATTGGGCAATGTCAACAACGCAAAAAGGTCATCCAGGAATGGATGGAGGACGACCTCTACATCCGGACGGCTACCGTCCGGCGCCGCGTCCGGCCGGACACAGATTGGCTAGACCCGGACGGCCCAGACGGCCGGACGTCAGACAAAGGTCCTGGCTGGGCTGGCCCGGACGGACACCCGGTGCAGCCCGGCAGCGGGCCCCCAGCCATGCAGCCGTGTTTGTGTTGAATGTTGATGTCACCTTCCACGAACTAAGTTCTCAAGAACCAGGTCGAGTGTGTTTATTATTGGTTATTTGAAGCTATGTCGGGGACATTGCCAAACAACTTCTCATATTTCAATTTTTAGAATGCGTTATATGCATCTGATGTTTACTATCGACACAGCCAAAACAACGGTTATATTTTGCTACCAAATTTTCAAGCATGGAAGAACGAAAAAAAAACTCCTCTTCCCCATCCCAAAACTGTCGGTCTTGTGCTACGGTAAGTGCACATCGCTTCCACAAGTAGGCCGATATCCGTCGCTCCTTCGCTGCGCCGCACCCTCGTCCCGTCTGAGACCCCGCCGTCGTGTTCGGCACCGGACACATTTCACTGTGGCGGGCTCCGGTCTCAAGGGGCGGCCCGAAAATGGGGCACATTTCCTGCGGCCGCCGCGCCGTCGGCGCACAAAGGCACATAAAGCGCGCCGTGGCGGCACAAAGAGCTTCCCCGCGTCGGTCGTCGGGCCCGACTGCGTGCGTGCGTCGTACACCGGTCGGGGAGACGCCGGAGGTCGGGACGGGACCAGTCCGACACGCCAGACAGGGGACGGAGCGGCACGCGGGCCGCTCAACGCTGAGACGCCGGGCGGACGATAGGAGGTCGAGTGGGCCATCCACGGCTCAGCGATCATCTCACGCGGGTGACCTCGGCTGAGGTCAGCCCTTTACCTCGCCACCCTGCGTGTCCCTGTCCCTCGCGGCGTGACGCCACTCTTCCGGAAGCGGCCGTCATCGATCGCCGTCGACATTGACGGTGGCGTCGGAGGGCGCGCGCGGCGGCCGGCGCGAGTCACTGCCAAGGCGGCCGGCCGAGCGGCCTCGCTTCCGGGACACGCCAGACAAGGGGGCGGCGCCGAAACCGAGTGGCTGGCAGAAGGGCGGGAGACAACGCAGGACCCGGAAAGGGGTCGGGTCAAATTTGATTTTATGGATTACTACACATCGCGAAACCTTCTAGATGATCTTTCGCCAGAGTAAATAATTTTCTTCACAACCCCTTGCCGGAAAAAAGTTGCTCGGAACAGAGAACCCCTCGATGCCTTGCCCCTCAATTTCATTGCGACGAGTTTCGAGGAAAACGAGCGATTCGCGATTGATATAGTCAACTGGGGATCTGACTGGTCAGTTTAACAACGCGTATTTCCAGTGTTAAAATTTCGTTATTTGCCTTGTTTATGAATTGTCGGCAAATTGTCGTAAAACAACCATCTTAACACCATTGGTACGTCGTATCACCCCATGTCGTGACATAATCTTTGTTCGGAAAAGATAACGATTAATCCAACATTAGCTTTGTTCGGAAAATAAAACGATTAATCCAACATAAGCTTTGTTCGGAAAAGAAAACGATTAATCCAAGCCAAATACCTACCTAATATCGGGCGAGGATCTCGAACGAGCAAGAAAGTAGGCATTCCCTGCATAAAATAAACAAAGGCCAAGACCTTACCAGTACCTCTGATGTTAGTTGTCGGACTTTCGTCCCCGTCTTGAGTTGAGATGTTAGTTTCACAACGTTTCGGCCAGTTACTTCTCCGGCCGTCGTCAGGTGTTCTTTGGCCCTTAGAAGGACCTGGATGTTGGTGGCGTTGCGCCGTACGCGTCATACCGTTCGAAAGCTCCTGTAGTCAGCGGGAATCGAACTCGGGTTTCCCCGGTGATAGTCCACGGTTCTAACCACTCCACTATCGAGGCAGACATCGTTATGGAGCTGGAAACTTGGTGTCATTTATCCCCCAGATGTTTTTGTGATTTCCTTAGTAGTGGGAGCCATATTGGGCTGATGTCAACGCTTGGCTTGCTGATGGGGTTGCTAGCCAGCGCCATGTGTGCGGCTTCCTTGATTTTTCTGATTTTCCAGTGTGGCTCCTTGTCGATGATGGTGGTATCATCCCAAGCAGGTCTGTGATCTCCTTCAGACCATGCATGCTCCGCCACACCGGATTTCAGTGTTTCGCCTCGGATGGTGGCCTTCCTGTGTTCTTCGAGCCTGACCGCCAGTGGGCGGCCAGTCTCGCCCTTGTATGACCTGCCGCAGCTGCACGGGATGTCGTATATGCAGTTCTTTGTTTGCTCCTTGGTGGTTGGCGGTCTGACCTTTGTGAGTGACCTGCGGAGGGTGGTGGTACTTCTGAAACTAACATCTCAACTCAAGACGGGGACGAAAGTCCGACAACTAACATCAGTGATACTAACACCTCGTCTCAAGCATTCAGAAGAACTTACCAGTACCTACCCGTAAACAAGCTGAACGGCAGCTGGGACATAAAATAAACAATGAAACGATCGATTAAAACGATTTGTCTCGTGTAACTGTAATTTAAACATAACCATTTCCTGGCTCCTGCATTCCTCACAGCTTGTTAATGACTCCTAGGGGCCAAACCATACCAAATAGCGCAGTAACTAATAATGCACAACATAAAAAGGCGCATTTTTGGTTTTACTCGACAGTTGATAATCCTGAAAAACGGGGGACCATCAAAGCGTTCAAAACCGCAGCATCCAAAGTACGCAACATCCAAAACCGCAGCGTCCAAAGTACGCAACGTCCAAAATACGTCCAAAATCGGGTATATAGGGAGCATTCACAACGTCCAAAACCGAAACATCCAAAACCGCAACGTCCAAAAACGTATCATCCAAAAACGCAACATCCAAGGACGCATCATCCAAAGTACGCAACATCCAAAGTACGCAACATCCAAAGTACGCAACATCCAAAACCGTTAGGTTAGGTTAGGTTAGGCTAGGTTAGGTTAGGTTAGGTTTCCTTATCCCCGGTAGGCATAAATCAGTAGGTTAGGTTAGGTTAGGTTAGGTTAGGTTAGGTTAAATTGGGTTTCCTTATCCCCGGTAGGCAAAAATCAGTAGGTTAGGTTAGGTTAGGTTGGGTTAGGGATAGGCAAAAATCAGTAGGTTAGGTTAGGTTCGGTTAGGTTAGGTTAGGTTAGGTTAGGTTGGTTTTGGATGTTGCGTGCGGGGGACCATCAAAGCGTCCAAAACCGCAGCATCCAAAGTACGCAACATCCAAAACCGCAGCGTCCAAAGTACGCAACCTCCAAAATACGTCTAAAATCGGGTATATAGGGAGCATTCACAACGTCCAAAACCGAAACATCCAAAACCGCAACATCCAAAACGTATCATCCAAAAACGTAGCATCCAAGGACGCATCATCCAAAGTACGCAACGTCCAAAGTACGCAACATCCAAAGTACTCAACATCCAAAACCGTTAGGTTAGGTTAGGTTAGGCTAGGTTAGGTTAGGTTAGGTTTCCTTATCCCCGGTAGGCATAAATCAGTAGGTTAGGTTAGGTTAGGTTAGGTTAGGCTAGGTTAGGTTAGGTTAGGTTTCCTTATCCCCGGTAGGCATAAATCAGTAGGTTAGGTTAGGTTAGGTTAGGTAAGGTTAGGTTAGGTTAGGTAAGGTTAGGTTAGGTTGGGTTTCCTTATCCCCGGTAGGCGAAAATCAGTAGGTTAGGTTAGGTTAGGTTAGGTTAGGTTAGGGATAGGCAAAAATCATTAGGTTAGGTTAGGTTAGGTTAGGTTGGTTTTGGATGTTGCGTGCCTTGGACGTTGTGGTTTTGGAGGTTACGTACTTTGGATGTTGCGTCCTTGGATGTTGCGTTTTTTGGATGATACGTTTTTGGACGTTGCGGTTTTGGATGTTTCGGTTTTGGACTTTGTGAATGCCCCCTATAAACCCGATTTTGGACGTATTTTGGACGTTGCGTACTTTGGACGCTGCGGTTTTGGATGTTGCGTACTTTGGGTGCTGCGGTTTTGGACGCTTTGATACGGACCCCTGAAAAACATCCGAATATTTTTTCACATGCTTCAACGCTAAAATTGTCGTTACCTTCCCGAGGGGAAGTGCCGCAGGACTGACGACGCAGCCCGTAATTCACACCTGACTATTGTGTACGCCCGGCGTGTGTTTATCGAGCGACGGCGCCCCTCCCCCATCCCTCCCACCGGGGGCAGACCACGCTCGCCGCCACGCCGCCTATCGATTCGGCGGCCGCCGCCGGCCTGACCTTGGCCGTGGCTCAAGGGCAAACTGCGCGGTCGGCTGGCGCGCGGCCGCCGCGCCGGGCCGCCGCGGCCGCCACCCGGAACAAAGTGAAACCCGCCGCCCAACTGACGGAGCCACGGACACGGCGGGCCCCGTCAGACCGAGACGGATAACTGGAGCCGTGACAGGAAAACACGACACAAATATTGTGCTGTGTTCAAAACACAATTCAGCTGTTCATTGAAGTTTCGCTTCACAGTTGTACGGCACGCAATGCAAACGCGTATTTGAGGCATACGAGTACTTTTACGAATACTTTTACGAATACTTTTGAGCCAATATTATGGATCGCTTCAGCAGCCATGGTCATTGACCAGGAATACATAAGCAGGGCAAATTCGCAATACAAGCTTATTACAATGCTGAGCGAATGGGAAACCCTGTTCGTAACGCGTGTTTACTTACAAACGTATCCCCGGTACAAAAAAAAACATCGGCGTGCCCCGAGGGGGCGGCTGCATTCAGTGTATCTGTTTACACTGAACTGCACGAGATGATTTAATATGAAAAATAATGCATTTGTGCAAATGCACAAGAAAAACAAAGCGCTATAAAATCAGACGCAGAACTTAAAAACTAATGCATACCTATTCAAAGGCGTCTCACACCGGACTGAAAACACGCATTTGCTTTGACCCAGCTTCATGCAGTCCCACTGTTTTGAAAAAAGCTTCATGTGACAACCAGCTCAGATCATATGCAATAGGCATATCTACATCCTCACTCATTACCGATAGCCTTGAGGGCCCAGCCGTTTGGAAGGGGGCGGGCACGGACGAGATAACACGGGCGTCGGGCGTCCAACCGTCAAAATTGTAGTTCGATTTCGAATGTTTATTGTTTTTCAAGAGCTGCTATTCGCGTTACACTAAAGCCCTTTGGGCGAGCCATCGCCTTGCGGCAGGCAGGGTGCACATGACTGCGATTCTCACCTTGATATGATAGGAGTTGATTTTGTGTTTCGGTAGAATGTTGAAGGAACTGAAGTCCGTCCTGCGGGCGAAAATTCCATTGCCTCCAGAATTGTGCCTGTGGAAGAAAGCATGTTATAGAATACGTTTTTTTCAGTGATCGTATGTTAATGTACTTTAGGTTAACAAACATGCAAAAGATAAGCCAAAGATCTTTGCTTTGGTAATACTCAATATATTAGGGCTGGTGAGCGCATTCAATTAAGATGAGAAACACGAATGACAACAATTAATGATAAAACTCTGGAAAACGTTAAAATGAGGGGTCGGTCGTACACAAGAAATGGGTGTCTAAAACCATGACAATCTTACCTAAGGCGTTCCGTTAAGAACTCGTTCTTTGGGTTGGACCGTTTTCGCACAGACTGGTAGTGCTGAGGGCTGTGAGGAGACTCGCAGCCCGAGGACGGGGGAGATGATCCCGTCGACCCCAGGCTGTTCGCGCGTGACCTGCCGTGACAGCCGATGGCCGGCGTCTGAATGGTGAGGGTCAGCACGGGCTTCGTGCTCTTGTTATGCTTCTTCCTCCTCTTGGTGTTGTCCTCGTCATTTGTCTTCGAAGAGTTGGTCCAGTCGAGATCTTTCTTCAAATGCCCCCTGCCACAACGACACCCACAAGCCTTGAAAGCCAGATCATACCCTTTTTTAGTCCACAAGTTTTGGTGCCGTTGCTTCTCAGACCACGACCTAGCGCGTCCACAGGATTTGAGGTATGCCAGCACACCATCTTCCCAGTTGTCAAAACACTGCCGGTGCATGTAGCCCGAAAAGGGACATTGTTCGTTGTTACAGAGCACCTTGCTGACCCCATCCTTGTCTTGAGGGTTCAAGACAACATCAGGGGCCAGACAGCCGTTCGGCACACTGCAAAGTACCGATTCGTAGTTTTGGTTTTCAATGGCGGCTGGGTCCAGTCTCTGTTGACCAGCAACCACTGGGGCTTGGTGGCGACGATTATGCGGCATCTTCGCTCTCACACAATCAATCACACTTCACAGCCAAAGTTCCACCAGTCTCCACTTCTTTCTTCACATTTCGAGACCCTCCACACCCCTTCGCCTCCTACATCCGACTAGCACCCTCGCCGGCCGGCTCCGCTGTTTTGATTCAGCTGCGGCGCTGTCTGGCGCGAGCTGCCATGCGCGACTCGACGTAACAGCGTTACCGCCACCGGATTGGCTGACGCCAGACCACGTGAGACTTGCCCTTGAACGCTCCTCCGCTGTTTTACGGCAAGGTAAATGAATTTACTACTAGAGGGGTGGGGCCCGTCCGCTTCGGGGGGCGGGTAAGATGCACTGAGGATGATATGCGGGCAGGTCTAAGTCCGATTTGCCGGACGGGGGCGGAAAGGCAGAGCTTTGAGCGGTAGCTCTCCCGCCCGCTATCGATCGCGGTGGCCGGTCGGAGCCGCCGCGGAGCCACGTGGTCGGCCCGTCGCCGGCGAACAAAGAAACCGTCTTCTCCCCTCGTCACCTGCAGTCTGCAAGTGACGAAACCTCAGCCATTTTTCTTGTGTTGCAATTGCTCTAGGGTCTTATTTTTGAAACAGCGAAGCGACCGGGTGTATGGTGGTATATGCTCTCAAAAAGGGCAGGAGGCCATCATCGGTTGGACGGCTTTCTGTCGACCCGGACCACGGTGCCGGGTGCGTAACGAATAACTATTTTTTCTAGTATCCAGACATGGTATTGTATTGGACCGGAATTTACGTAGCAAATATTTAGATCATGCCCAAATCAAGGTCATTTAACCCTCGCCGGGCCGGGGGTGTTTGAACACCCCCCCCCCCCCCTGCGGTTTTTCGCAAATATCTCAAAAACGGGGGCGCGGAGCGCCGCCGTTTTCTGCCTTCTGGCACACCTGTTCGTGCATCTTTTCCGCTTATGTTGTGAAAATTTCAGACCCAGACTGCTTCCTTATTGCATAAGAGGGATAGACTGCGACACACACATAATTTAATGGTTTCTTTGAGTATATAATTGGATAAAAGCATAATAAACTAATAAGTAAGTTGGATAAAATTAACATTACCGATGATAATTGGATTTGGGCATATAAGAATACCTAAGTAGGTATCCCATGACCTCACATTAGGTATCTTACCTGCGCCCTGGTGGTGGTGGTGGTGGGGTGGGGGCCGGGGGGGCTATTTTTTGCTCCCCTTCGGACTTTTCAATATATCTCCAGAACCGCTGCGCCGATCTTCACCAAACTCAGTACCCTCGCGGGCAACAACTCTACACATTGTGACCAAAATTTTTCCAAAGGCTATGATGAGGTGGCCGCAAATGACGTCAGAGTGACGTCATGCTCTGCCGTTTTCGACCCAAAAAAGATTGCCCAAAAATGAAAAAAGAGCTGTCAGGTCTATAGCTTTAAAGATACAAAAAATGTCTAGAACATAAAAGGTGTAGAATTACCAGGGCTACTAAACTGCTGTCACGAAATTCTCGGTTTGAAATTCTCGGTTTTTTACCCCAAAAATAAAGAAATAGTATTTTTTGATATAATAGCAAAAAAAAAACTTTTCGACTTTCGAAAAAAAAAACGGAATATATGTGATAGCCCCTACCGACGTCTATTCACGTACTAAATTTTAGATCGATGCCTCTTTTTTGGCCAAGTTATACCAGAAAAAAAATGTTCAAAATTGACGACGTCAAATATTAAAACTCTATTTTTACGATTTTAGACGACGTAGCGCAAAACGAAGACCATCATTTGACTCGCCGTCACGAGTTGCATCGAATTAATACCATTTTATGCAAAAATATCAACTTTGAAATTTGACCTTTTTGACCTGACATTGACCTGACCTCCACCAGGAAGTGACCTAAACTGTTCCTGATGGTCTTATAACCAACACCATTGAGTAAGAAGAAATGCAAATTGGCCGTAAAATTGTAAAATTGGGTTCATGTGCTGACCCTTGGTGACCTGACCTGTTCTGTGACCTGACCTGGTTCTATCAGTGACCTCTAATAGCAACATATGTATTAGGCAATTGACGCCCTATCGCTGATTTTCGATTAAATGCGTTTTACTCGATCTTATAGCGCCTATTTCTTATAAGACCACCCGTGAACGGCAAAACATTTTATCTTTGACCTGAACTGTGACTTCATCGATGACCCCGAGATTAATGACATTAATTTTCGTTCGACAAATTCTTCCGAACCGATGGTTGTAGAAAGACGAGAAAATGACAATCGAAAACTCTCAGCAAGACGGATCTTTAGAGCCGTCGTTTTGCTTTGGTAGGTCAGAGGCAAGGTAAGGCCGGTCAGGGTTCAGGTCAAGGGTACAAATTGCAAGTTTCAGCATCATCGGCTTTGGAGCGCAGTTGGCGAAGAATGGACTGATGTTGATTACCCAAAACGTGTTCTTAGGCTACCAATTGACAAAATGCGTTACATACGATGTCATGCGAAGGTCAAGGTCAGGTCAGATCACCAGAGACGAAATATAGAATAAGTCATGTGCGACACATGTTTTATGGGTCATTTTGTTCAAATAATTCAACGAGTATACTCAACTAGTGTTATGAACTATATTTGGATGATTTTCAGGGCGAGGTCAGGCAGTGGCGGCGGAATAGGGGGTGCAGGGGGTGCAGCTGCACCCCCATCGAAAAACATGGGAGTGCAAACATATCTTTTTGCACCCCCAAAATCCGTACAAGGGGCCCGTCGCACCATCCAATACATTTCTCCTGAAAACCAGTGATCGTGAACCGAACACTGATGTGGAATAATCCGGTATGTCCAATTATGGTCAGGAGCGCCCCATGCTAGTCTTTGGGGCCCCCACACCGGCTAGAAGTGTCCTGAGCCGCGTTTGGTGCTCCACGCGGCATCTGAGGGCCCCCCCACGACGGCCTCAGAGGGCCATTTTATGACGATCTCTGAGGGCTCCCAACTGAGGGCTTTGTCCCCTAGGGCCCTACAACGGCCACTAAGGGCCCTCATGACGACTACTGAGGGTCCCACAGAGACTCCAGGGCCCCAAGGAGACTCCAGGGGCCACGCTGGCCTCTGAGGGCACCTATGACGGCTTCTGAGGGCCCTTACGATGATCTCTGAGGGCTCTCACGACGAACTCTGTCCCCTGGGGCCCTATAACGACCACTAAGGGCCCTCATGACGACCGCTGAGGGTCCCACAGGACTCCAGGGGCCCCACTGGCCCCTGAGGGACTCTACGACGGTCTCTGAGGGTCCTTGTGACGGCCCTAGACCCAACTCAAGTCTGAAGGCCCATTTGGCTTCAGACGGCCCAGCGACGGCCTCTGAGGGCCTCAACACAACCAGGCTGCAGGGGCTATGCTGGCATCTGAGGGCTCTGCAACGGTCTATTGAGGGCCCTAACAACAATGGCCTCTAGCGGTCTTACCAAGGCCTCTGAGAGCCCTGCAAAGGTATCTTAGGGCCCATGAAGACCCTCAATATGACCAAGGACCCTCATGACGACCTCTGATGATCCTCTCGAAGGCTTCTAAAGGCCCTCACAACAACTTCTGAGGACCCAGGACGGTTCCTGAGGGGCTGAGGGCCCTGACGACGACCTCTCTGGGCCCTCACGATGGTCTCTAATACCAAACGCAAGCTCCAAAGGCCCACACTGGCGTCTGAGGGCCCCACGACGGCCTCTGAGGGCCTCGACGCAGGCAGGCTCCAGGGGCCATGCTGACCTCTGAGGGCCCTCTTGACGGCTTCTAGGGCCTAACGAAGGTTTCAAGGGCCAACACTGGCCTCTGAAGAACCCTACGACGGCCTCGGAGGGTCTCAACTCAACGCAGGCAGGTGCCAGGAGACATGCTGGCCTCTGAGGGCCACGCAGAGCTCAGATTCAGAGGATCCAGCGACCTTTGTGGACCTTACGAAATGCGAAGGTCTCCGAGAGCTCACGCAGGCTCCTGGAATTCTACACTGATTCTCAGGCCCCATGTCGGCTTGTTGAGGCACTTTATCTGCTCTTGGTGCCCCGTCGCCGGCGTCTGAGAGTCTCAATGTCGGAACTTATGGGGCCATGGGCCCTACACCGGCTTTTATGGCCCCTACACTACATCGACTCTTGGGACTCATGACCCATGAAATGTGGGTCTAAGCGGCTTCTAAGAATCCCCATGCTGGTTCTAGTAGCCGCCAGCCGAATATTAGGGCTCACACGCGAGCTCCTGGGACCCCGTGCATACCCCAGGGTTCTACCTGCCTCTAAGACCCCACACATACTTTTGGGGCTCAAACGCGTGCCTCTGAAGGCCCCACTGAGACCCCTTTCCTCTATTCAGTCCTCCATACCGGCTCTTTAGGCTAAACATCGGCTCCTGTGGCCTCCATCCCGGCTTTGGAGGGCCTCGATACAGGCTTTTTTGGGTCCGATGCCGGTTTCTGAGAGCCCTCAAAAGACTTTCGAGCCTATACTGCCTTCTGAAACCTTTCAGCAACTTTCAAGGGACCGACCCTGATCGGAGGGCTCATTCAGTCTGGGGAGTCATGTATAGGTCTCTAGAGGAGTCCCTATGTGGTCGGTTTCCAAGGGACTTCTAAACACGGTCTTCTTGGAACGGTCTCGTAGGACCCTCAATGGTCCTTTGCGGATCCAGAAAAGTGGTTTGGACGCTGCGGGTGGTGGCTAGACTAAAAGATTAGCCGATAAAAAAACTAGCTGCATTTGCTTCTTTAGGTATGCTTTCATTATTTGAGACAGGTAGGTACACTGCAATTTCAAACCTTTTACAGAACCTGTGTGTATGGGAATAGTTTTCCAAAATCTTCATTTTTCATAAATCAATAATAATCACTCAAAAAAAACTGAAGGGGGGCCCAAAACTTCCAGAGGGGCCCTTTGAGAAAACTCTGCACCCCCATCCAAAATTACCTTCCGCCGCCACTGAGGTCAGGCCAAAGTCAGGCCAAGTTGGGCCATCAGGCCATTTTGAAGTTGGTTGCTAAGGCCCAAAACAGGTGTCTATTTGATGCAGTTTTTCACAACAAATCGAATGGTCTGTTCCCACACGAGGTCTAGAAATTATAAATAAATATTTTTGGAAAATTTTATGTACCTACTTTGACGTTATGAAAATTTAACCCGC